TTAATAGTCTTTTCAAACAAATGTATTCTGCTATCTCCTCCTTTATATGGGTTAACTCTGCTACAGTAGCACTGACACATCAGACCTTCCCTTCCCCAATTAATATTACGACTTTTTGGCTTCCTAGCTTGCTTTCATTTAGGTATGGCTAACCTCTACCTCTGAAAAAGCTGCTGCGGCCACAGAAGCGGCATCTAAAGGCTCACAAAACCTTATTCACAGATCTACCACTACCTCTATGCATCAGACCTTTCCTATTGATACTTCTGTCTTGGCCTGGCACAGGACCAAAGTAGAAATGCCCACGACTGTCCCTTGCCCACATTCTCCACTGTAGTTTAACTCAAACTTGCAAAAATTATGCAACCATCCAGATACTGATTGTTGTGCAAGAAAGGTGTTAAGTATCTGTTCCTGAATAGTTTTCACTGACTTTCAAGTGCTGAAAGTTAAACATAGACAGGTGAATTAATAAAGAGTATCTGTCGGGTCCCGGTCCGAGCGCGTCAGGTTCCGGTCCGAGTGGCTCCATGTCGGGTTCCGGTCCGACGGACGAACGGTGTCCCAGTTCAAGCCACTGTGCGGGGACGCACACGGAGGGGACATCCCGGCAGTACCGCTAGGCCGCGCAGGCGCAGATGCCCTGTGACCCGGCGGGATCCGCCCCGCACGTGATGACGTCATTGCACGGGCGTGCGCGAGTGACGTCATTGTACTTCGTTGTCTGCATGTTACCGACCCGGCTCGGCTAGACTCTCTCCATTGATCCTCGATACCCTGCACGGCTGCCCAATCTGCCAAGCACATCACCTGCTGCCTATACCTGGCATCCGGATCCGGCACTCCTTGCCTGACACACACTGTCTTCAACCCCAGTGCTCATCAGACAGGGTTGCAAGGGAGGTCCTCCTCATCATCTCGGGCCCACACCTCGGACCTAACAGTATCATTGGGACCTCTAAGAAAAGAGTTTTAGAGTTACAAGAATAGTGTTATTTGTACCAAATCCATGAACAAGGCTAAACAGCATTCATGAATTTGGTGCAAACCTATGAAACTGGCGCTAGTTTGCGAGACAAACTTTGGGACAGATTTATGCACATTAATAAAGTACAAAGATGTCCCATCTCTGTCCAAAGTGTCACATATGTGTCTGGGACAGATTTCAATTGTATCCTGAGTTTCAAGGAATGTCGCTCCTAAGTTTGTGTCACATATTGCAACAGACACATAATATGAACATGCGACAGACTAGTTACACCAAAAAGTACTTGGTCTTAAATTACATCCCTTTTCTTATTACTGAACTGTTGGAGTTTATTTATTGAATATGTCACAAGCACAGCGCCACACTCAAATATGGAGGAAATAAGAAGTACTTGGATTTGGTGCAGGAGTCGATAGAGGTCCGAAAAATGAAGCAACATGCTTTAGAATTTGAGCAGATATTTCTTAGGCTGCATTAGCATCAAAATTCTGGCACAAACACAGTATTGAGTGTCCCGAACATGTTCTTCAGATAACTCCTACAGCACAACAAGATAAGTCAATACCAGGAGGCATTTTTCCCAGGTGCTGCTAAATAATACAGGTTCATAAAACCTCCATAAAATGGCTCATCAGCAAACTGAGGCAGCCCTGTGGTTATGATTTAATGCATCCACTGCATACCTAGAACAGCTGTACTTTACTGAACTGGCTGACATATGCTACCATTTTAGGCAAAACACATTTCTTCTGTACAGTCACATTAAAGGTCTTCTCTCATACACACTTCATTTTACATACACCAGAGATCACATTCTGCACTACATTGTGGAATCTGTGTGCCTGATGAACTGACAAGCTCAGCAAGAGCTCTGAACACCCTGAATGATTTCAGAGACTGGAATTAGCTAGGACAATGAGGTCACCATGGAGTTTATAGTTTAACTTTTGCACTTTACAGTTTTAGGTCAAATTTTCAATTTTACTAGATTGTTTTGGTATCTTTCAAATTACTTGTCCTCATCAGCAAACAAAATAAAATACACTGAGTGGCCAATTTATTATGACAACCTGATGTTTGTAGGCAAATTAGCTATAATTAGCTGTAATTTCGCGCTGAAGTTGCTAGAAGGCCAGACCATTATAAATAGGGAAGCAGGTTGTTTACCATGACAGTAGAAGTGATTTTTTTCTGAAGATAAGAGTAAACAACATGATTTAACAGCCTTTGAACGTGGGATGATTGTTGGCGCTCGGAGCCATGGAGCGAGTACCAGCAAAACAGCAGAATTCGTTAAATGTTCAAGAGGGGCTCATTGTTAAAGAGTCTAAAGACTGGACTGTCAGCCGCAAATCTGGGTCTGAACGTGCAGATTGTGGCCGTCAGCGACTAGTCAATGTTAGGGCATAACGGAGAGTGGCAAGACTGGTACAAGACATCAGAAGGGCAACAGTGCAGTGTCAGATTCCTCGCATCACCTTTCAACATCTGTCCTCTAAAAAACGATATATAATATGTGTGGGTGTACTTGTGTGGGTGTACTTGGTAAGAAAACAAAACAAGCTAAGTCATGAAGGGGCTATGGGGACTATGTTGGGACTATGTTGAAGCATTCTGAAAGAGAAAGAAAAGTATTCTAACCCAGCTTGAATGAGGCCTGAGAGGGTTTGAAAGCCTCTAACTATCCAAACTAGGAATATGTTTTGGCTGGAGTTCTACCCTAATATGCTTTAGGCAAAGCAGTGTTCAAATTCTAAAAAAGTCCAGTCTTATTTTAGAATATAGTGCATCTTATTCTGTGCCAAACAATGCTCCGCTGAGATGTTGTACACAGGGCTTAGCTTTCACAGAATTCCTGTAATGATGTTTAGGATTGGCTTTACTTAAAAACACAACTAAATTACAAAACGTAGAGTCTTTTAGGGTATTTCCACTTCAGCTAAAAAGGATTAAAATTAAACCATTAGCCTCTTGGCAAAAAAACCCGCAACTCTTTGATTACATAAAACAGATTCACTACAGAGCAGAACTGTTCTCAGGAGCCGTATTAAGTCAGTGATGTAACAAAAGGGGCTCCCTACAGCAGCAGATTATTCCCCCTCCACACAGGCATGGGAAAACGCTCAACACTCATGGAGCAGAAACCTATACAAACACATTCAAATCACCACAAAACTCAACTTAAAACAACTGTCACCACACATGGATGTAAAGAAATATTTCACAGAAACAGAATTAAAGAGATGGTAGCTCACTCAAACCACATCACAAAAACCACATTATATTTCACAATATTATATGCAAGCTTCAGAGCATCACAGTGTGCTACAAAGTAAGCTAGCAAAATGAATCCTCTAATACAGTACTGAACACCATTATTCCTTCCTAAAACGGAAGTAAACTCAACTAAGCAACTTTATTTCATAAGCAAGTAGCTAGTACATACTTGTGACATCTAGCTGCCACATCCTTCATGCCCTTCTCCTTGACTATATCGTTATATGTTAGTAGTGTGAGGTCATAAGTGCATGCGCAGAGTAACTTTAATTTCCAGCATCCAGATTTATCAAGACAATATCTTGAGCAACTGTGCATGGCAACCAATCAGCTTCTATGTTGTTTTTTTTCAAGCCTTAACTGAACGAACTGAAGAGAGAAGCTGATTGGTTGCCAGGAGCACTGTGCATGCCTAAGACTGACATGATTTAAGGGCAAAATCAGGGTCGTGGGCCGAAAACGCAGGAAAAGATCCAAGATGGCGTTGGCATCAGAGGTAGCAGGAGAAGCTGACTACTAGCAAAAACTAAATATGCATCATGGTCATTATGTGGAGAGGCTTCCTGATTGCCTGGGAAGCCACTGTTCTAGCGAAAAAACACTGGCTTCACTTGCGAGGCTGCCTAGCTTACTGACCAGGTGACTCATAAGGTGCCACCCGTCTTCCTGATTGGTCAGGAAGCCAGGCTTGCCCAGCAACAAGTGAAGCCAGCTTTCTAGCCAATCGGGAAGCTGAGCGGCATGCCATGACCCGCCTCCCTGATTGACTAGGAAGCTGGCTTCACTTGTTGCTAGGCCGCCTTGCATCCTGACCAATCAGGAAGCCAGTAGGTGGGTTTATGACATGCCGTCTGGCTTCCTGACTGGCTAGGAAGCCAGGCTGCCTAGCAACAAATGAAGCCGGCTTCCTGATAGGACAGGAAGCTGGCTACATGCTCCCTCTGCACTACCCTACCGGTCAGAGGGAGACCTCCCTCTAACCAGAAGTTCCGGTATTGGAGGTAAGTATTCGCCCAGCCGCCAAAATCACTTGACCGGCTCCCCCCGTACATTTAGCCCTACTTATCCGAAGCAGGGCTGAATGTAGAAAGAGAAAATACACTTGCCTGCTGTCAGCTCCTCCCTGGCCGCGGCATCGACATCTGGCGGCTGGTGGGAGAACAGACACTGCTGCGCTAGGAGGAGGATCCATTAATGAAAGATGTAAGCTTTTATAGACACCCGATCCCTTTTAGGTTGTTAAGCAGCCGTACACATCAGCATGAGAAAATCCTTATGTGTAACTGCTTTTTGCTAAATGTTTCAGCATAGAAACATTTAGCAACATGTTTCTATGCCGAAACAAAGTTGCAGGTTTCTGATTGTTCTGGGAACGATTGGAAGTCTTTAGTGACACCTGACCCTGAAATGCTACAGGAACAGCATTTAAGGATCAATGTCACTAAGGTTATTATTGGCTGTTCCTAAGTTTGGAGCAATAATAACCAAAAATGTATTAATTACATCAAGCAGTCAAAGTGGGATCCATCAACAATCATTGCTTCAAATAATTAAAAATAAATAAAAGTGTAAAAAAAAAAAAATTGTGATATAAATATATAGCCCCATCTGTCCTCTAAAAAACAATATATAATATGTGTGGGTGCACTTGGTAAGAAAGAAAAACAAGCTAAGTCATGAAGGGGTTAAGGACTACGTTGAAGCACTCTAAAAGAGAAAGAAAAAGTATTCTAACCGAGTTTGATGGCTCCATCTTGAGTTAGCAGTACGTTTCCTGCTTTCAAGTCCCGATGGATTATCTTCATGCTGTGGAGGTAGGCTAGCGCTTCTAACATCTGCCTGCAGATGGCCTGAATTTGAGGTTCTGTCAAACCACGATCAAGCTCTGTCAGAAGAAAAAATACAAGTCAGCAAATTTAAGCAGACATGTTGGAGAACAAGAAATACACAAACACATATTAGATCAGAACAATTAATTTTTAAGTAAACACATAGAACAAGTAATAAATCATACACCAATAATGAGTTAGAGGTTTGAACTAAACACTGATCCACCCCTTTCAGCTGAGACCATGTAACCTATGCCTAGGTTTTTGGTCACATGACCAGAGATAGATTGTCCACAGGGCAGGAACTTAGAAATCCAGAAGTGAGTGTGTAAGCTGCATGTGGGAGTGATTAGGCTTTATGCTACCAATGTTTCAAATTATAAAGCCCCTGCTCCCCTCTCCTCCCTGATCTCAGTCACCGTTCTAAATCCTCTATTTTAGTGGGCACCCTCATGACCGAAAAATGGTTTAACCTAGGGATGCACCACTACTAGTATCAGTGCCGATACCAAGTATTTGGGCGAGTACTCATACTTGCCCAAATGCTCCGATACTTACCCCCGATATCGGAACTTCCAGTCAGAGGGAGATTTCCTCTGACCAGCAGTGCTGTAAGGGAACATGGAGCCGGCTTCCCAGCCATTTAGGAAGCCAGGCAGCTGGTAATGACTCGCTGCCTGGCTTCCTAATTGGCTGGGAAGCTGGCTCCATGCTGTTTGACCGGTTCCATGCTGATTGGCCGGGAAGCTGGCTTCCCAGCCAGCCGGAAGCCGGCTTCCCAACAATGCTTGTCCAGTTCCAACAATACTTTAATACAAGTTTGCCAATCAGGTATTCTGACTTTTTTTCAGTAAAGGCTTCCATTAAGATTATCCCTCCTTTGTAAGTATAACTATTATAAGTACAAAGGCAATTATTTATTTCTTAAACATCAAATTAAAAGAAAAAAACAACAATGTACCTAGCATGATGGCGTCCACTGCTCCTCCTTGACAAAACTCAATCATGATCTGTAAAACAATAACACGATATGAGGTGGGCAAACAACATTTACAATATGCAACTAAAAATGACAGCCTTGTTCAATATTCAGCAAAGAAACTTAATCAGAATGACAAACCATACAAAAGGTTACATCAGACATCGAGTCGATTCTAGCATCCTTTAAAAAAAACCTGTCATGGGAGAAATGTAAAAATGGTCACTGTTGCCTTTTTGAAAACGCTATTTGACTGACTATTTTGGATTACAATACTGTAAATTACTGATCTGGAACAAGTGAGACAGAATTCTTGATCTGCTTGCTGATTTGGAGTCAAGGAATTTGTAGGCTTTTGTATTTCTCTCCGTAAATATTCCTTTCTAAATAGTATTTGAAAAATATATGTTTTTAAAAATTTCAAATAAAAACAACAAGTGTGTGTGTTGTGCTGCTATTCATTTGAATGGCACCCCAATGCACCTCCCAGCGATTGTGCAGCACAATGTCTCAATACTGTATGTTGTGGTGAAAAAAATAGTGCATGCATGTAAAATAAGTGGTAGTAAATAAGGAGCACCTGGGTTCACTTTAAAAACCCAATCATGGGCAAGGGAAATGAACAAAACTGTATTTTTGCTACCACATGATTGGTTGATTATATTCATCACAGCTTCATCTTAATTATTAAGCTCGATAAACAATCACTTTGTGACAGTGAACGGTCTCTGTTCCTTAAAAATCTCACAGTATGGGATATCCCAATATTGTTTTGCAGCAGTGTGCTATGTCATATGATTTAAAAAAACAAACCACAACAACAACTACAACTTACTCCTCAGTTCTTTCACATGCAGAAAGTACTATATGAACCTTTTCATTTGTAGTAAGCAATTATTCTGCCTAAACATTTAAATATATACAACCCTTTGTCATGTGGATCCTGTGCCCTGAATGGTGTTTTTATTTATTAAGTCCAAGGTTTGGTAGAAACCAGAGACCATGTGTAATGGAATTTTCATGCCTAGTCATGCATGGTGGGTTAACAGACATGTAAAAAAAAAATCAAAATGAAGCAAACTAATATGGGCTCTTTCCAGATACTTTGACTTCAGTAACCAACTAAGAAATTGTGCGCGTTGTTGTTTTTTTAAATAACGGTTAAATTACTCTAAGTCAGGGGTGCCCATTAGGTAGATCGCGATCCAACAGTAGATCGCAAAGCGAACATTCTTAGATCGCGATCGGCTCACTGACCTGTGTCCTGTCCTCCCGCAGTGCTCGTGTGGCTGAATGTGTCAGACGCCGCAGACGGGAAGGAGAGAGGGGAGGAGACTTGGGAAGCTGCTGCAGCGGAGGTAAGAAAAGACAGACAGGAGAGAGACAGCAGAGAAAGTGAGAGAAGAGATAGCAGAGAGACAGCAGAGAAAGTGGGAGAAGTGACAGCAGATAGAAACAGGAGAGAGAGGAGAGAGTGTAGAGAGGGATGGTTCACACCACAAAGTCTGCGTTCCAGAGTGTTCAGACTCTAGAACGCATTGGAACGCAAGCCGGCCGGCTCCCTGCGTTCAGGGGCGGGAGGGGGCGTGGCGGAGCATTGAAGTCAATGACACCACAGCCACCGCCCTCAGTGTGATCGCCCGCACCCGGAACGCAGGCACATTAATGCCTGCATTCCAGTCCAGCGCGATCTGCAAAAACGCAGCATTTTTGCAGATCGAACTGGACCGGAACGCAGGCATTAATGTGCCTGCATTCCTGGTGCAGCGATTGCACTGGGGGTGTGGATGCAGTGCCATTGACTTTAATGCACTGCCACGCCCCCTCCCGCCCCTGAATGCAGGTGTTTTTTCATTGGTAGATCTCATTGAGCTCGTCATTTGAAAAGTAGATCTCCAGATGAAAAATTGTGGGCGCCCCTGCTCTAAGTTTTCTCAAAGAATGCAGTAAAGTGCACAATTTCTTTCAACAAATAACTATGACCTGCAACTGTTCCTTTCAGAACAACAAGCGACAAAGGGCGACACAAAATCTGGACAAGCTTAATGGTGCAATGCAAATGCATTTCGTAGAAGGCTCCTGGCAGCAATCACTGGCAAAATTAGACTTCCAAGTAGCAGATGCTGCAATGATTTTGTCACCAAACTGCATTCAAGGGGGAAAGCATTTTATATGTTAGTGTCACCAACCATGACTTACACAGCAGAACCACTAACCTTTGCATTAGGTGAATAACAATTTAATGAATGTAAACGCATATATGCATGTCCTATTCATGATATACCCCTTTGCAGGCTTTCATCCTCACTGGCACTAGTGAACATTTTTACAATTATTATAGACACATTAGACTGTAGGCTCTGAGGGAAGAAAAATAAGTGAATGGCTGAATTTTTTTGTGAAATAATTTATAACTTGGTCATGCAAAATAAAGGATAAAAAAATAATAATTGAAAGCTGGAGAAAACTAGAACATACAAAAGGAATCGCATTAAAAAAAAGCATGTTGAAAAGAGAACCCCATTATAATATAATTCCAGTAACTTTGTTTTTAATCTTACAAAAAAAAAAGCATAGCTTCAGCAACATAGCTTCATTGTTTGTTAGACTTTAGATTATTTGCAAGGTTGTCTGCGCCATAGTATTGCGATAGTAGGGTGCTCCGATTTACTCCCACAAACCTAAGACTTGCAGATTGGCTTAGTCTTACAGGGTTATTCACAAAAGGGTGAAGAGTTTGGAGAAGGCAGGAGAAGTGAATGATCTAGGCCAACATAGCTGAACTGGAAAAATTCTCCACTTCAGCTATGTTGTCCTAGTTTACTCACTTCTCCTGCCTTCTCCAAACTCTTCACTCTTGTGAATAACCCTGTAGAGGTCTCCAGTGTATATGCATGACTGTGATTGGAACTTTAGACTGCATGTTCCCTTGATGGCAGGGAATAATGGGCATGGTGTATGCACACAGTAAAGCTTGCCATATCCCAGTAGAATTTTGTTGGAAAACAATTCATTTTCGGAAATTTTATTTGATTTTCTAACAGGCAACTGGGCCAAATCAACAATGGTTTTCAACCACAAAAAATAACATTGAAGGAGCATAATAAAAAAAAAAAAAATCTTTCTGTGAATGTTGTTGTTAAATAAAAATTTCCAAAGTCGTACCAAAGTTAAAACCACACTGAATTTCGATGACATTTGTCAAGTCTCTGATGGCATTACTGAATGTTCTAGTGAGACTTTTTGTATGAACGATCGTATGAATATCTACTCATGTATGGCCATCTTTAGCCCTAAGAATGTCTTAACAATACATAAATGTCTGTGAAGGTTCTCATTCATCCGGGTCACGGTAGATCTGCAAAAAAATAAGTCAAGGCAACTGGACTTGCTGTATTTTTCTTGAAGACGTTTCACTGGTCATCCAACCAGCGTTCTCAATTTAGAATGACTTGTAAAAAATTATCTGGGAATAACATTCACCATATTTATTCCCAGATAATTTTTTGTACAAGTCATTCTGAATTGAGAAAGCTGGTTGGACGACCAGTGAAACGTCTTCAAGAAAAATACAGAAAGTCCAGTTGCCCCAACTTATTTTTTTTACAGATAATACATAAATGTTTTACATTAATAGACTTATTACTGTAGGTCCTTTATTTTGTTAGTAGATATAACGGTATACCAAAGTCTCTATCTCCTCTTCCTTACAACAGTGCACAGGATGTCTGCATATTACAATCTGTAGAATGTTGGATTTTATTATGGCCGAACTTGTACCACATCCCCTAGTATAATTGTAACTGCCTTGTGGGATACAACTGCTTCCTTCAGATAACAGCTGGGTTCTTGTGAGGAAGTCATGCAATTTAACTAGTTTCCACAAGAAAATAAAGTCACTAGATCTGCCTGTGTACTGCTATCCTGCATATGTATTAGACCAAATTCTTTTTTTAGCTCAAAAGAAGAAAGAACAACTTCTGACTTCTTCAAAACTATAGTAAGGATTAGATAAAAAAAGAAATAAACAAATATACACTGAGACATTTCCTTAGTTGCACTAGAATAGCAGAGATATCTGTAACCACTAATGTCTTTCAACATTTGCAGTGTAGAAAGAAAGTAGAAAGAAAGTTCAGAAGTTCCAAACACACTCAATTAAATGGAAAGTAGAAAATAAAAAGGCTTTGGTTGCCACCAATGTTCATTAAAAAAATCCAGCTTTAGTAACGACAATCTACAAACACATACTTCTATATAATTGCAGGCTTTGTATTCTTTGCATACCTTATTTCTCTTTTCTTCCCAAGTCTTCTGACAGTGGCCATGTTAACTAAGGGCAGGTTACTAGCTCTCCTATTACTTCCTGAAACTCTGACGTGACTAGACATGTGACCATGCACATCATCTCAGGGAAGGAAAATGCCTTTCCCTGAGATCTCATGAGATTACAGATGAGATTTCCCAGCAATGCTCTGCTGATGTAATTTTACCAGGATGCAACACTTGGTCACATACACCATTTGTGCCAGAACTGGACCAGGAAGTAGATGAACTCTATTTGTAAATGAAAAACAAGACTAACTAATGAATGTAAGATGATTTTAAATCTGCATGCAAAGCTGCATGCTGCAGTGATTTTTAGTAAAAGGGGGTAAATATCCACTTAAATAAAAGAACTATGGCCAAAGCTTTTTTGGCTTAGTTCTCTTTTGGATCACAGGAGGACATTTACTAATGTTCTTCTGTGACCTAAAACTCAACATATAGAGTGATCTTGCCAGCTACATGCTGACAGCGCTGCAGCTGGAAAGGATCCTGAAAATACTGACAGGATCCACCCCGCTACCTGACTGGCTACTAAGAGGCAGAGATAGCTGTACCTGCCTCCTCCCTGGTCTATTTCCCCAGTCAGCGCTGGAGTGGAGAGGGAAGGGGGGGAATCCCTGCGGGGAGTGGTGACTGACAGTTTTTGATCTATAGAGCCAACGTGTGACAGCTTCAGTGCACATGCCGTCTCTAACTAGGAGA